ACCCTGAAAAAATAACATAATAAAAACAAAAAGTACTTTTATTAAAGTGTAAAATAATTCAAAATCACTCCAGTTATTTTTTTTTTAACCGTCAGCCTTGTGCTGCTTTATGGTGGAAAAAACTGAAGGTGGGGACAAAACAAAACCCCACATTATTGTCTGTTCAAAGTTAAGAGTCCACAGCTACAATTTTACTGACTGTAACTAAAACAACGTGATCATTGCACTTAATCTTCACTCAAACAAGTGTGTAAACAGATTAAACATCACTCTAATAACAAGAGCAAAAAATAATAGTAAGAATTAGTCAGTTATTTAAATTGATAGCTACCTTTCTTACTGCTGCATTTTCTGAGCATCATTTGGAGATCGGCCACTCGCTCCTGCAGGGAGCAGTTTTTATCACTGCTCTCGTCATGTCGTGCTCATATTCTAAAACAAAAGCTGTGCTCTCCTTTCTTCTGTCCATCAATCCCAGAGCTAATCCACGGGCAGCATTCTGCTGATGTCAAAACTGTAAGCGTGCTTTAGCCTACTCGCTTATAGAACCACTGACCGGAGAGGAGGTTCCAAAACAGCGCAGCAGTGTGCGGTTGGAAACAGAGACACACTGGACTGAGGCCGAACCGCATAGCTTCTGCCAGGGTGGAGAGTAGAGCCTGGTTGTCTCTCCGTTTTAAAACGTTCACAGTTCTCATGGAAAACTTGTGCATGACAATTTTGCACTTAGTTTTAACACGGTTTTTTGATGAAAACAGAAAGTACTGTCGACATCGCTTCTACTTCTTGCTAATTTGTTAGCGCAGCATGGTGTTGTGATCACATGGGCTCTACATGCTGGATCCAAGCGCTGCTGGATAGAGAAGCTGGAGCAGAGTCAGTGGACTGCTGGATTGAACTGCTTATACAGTATCGGAGCGCTTTTATCTGAAAATTTTTATGCAGGCCGATATAATCCAATACTCGATTTTTGGCTGATATTGGACCGATATCCGATATTAATTTCGGATTGGGACACCCCTACGTTCCAAGACCAATACTAATAAAATTCAATGAAGATTTCTCCCTAGTATGTTCAAACAAACACCAGATGTATCGGGTCATATGCGTATATCCATCTACAGTCAAAAGTTCCAAGCATGGCACTTCAAATTTAGGTTTAATGACAAACCCCCAAATTAGAACAGCCATTCAACAAAGCTACACAATGAATGATGGGTTGCAGTGTCTGAAGTGATGGATAAAAAGAACATGTTTTTATCAGTGCTKTCCAAATAGCAGAAACCAATCAACCAGAGACATTTGACCACAATTAAAATACCRCAGAGAAAAGAATGACTATAAAAAGGACAAATAGGGCATTGTTAATTTACTGKTTTGAAATGTGTAATTGTGCAATTATAMTTAAAAGAGAAATAAACTGTTCCATTAGGATGATAGTACTGTGTTAATGCAGGGAACGTGTTGATAATTTTGTGTGAATACATCCCAGCACACACATTTTACTGCTATATGTGGCAAAGACTAAAAAATGTCTAAACGCAGTGTGCTCTAATTACAAATTACCTCTAAATTGAAATAAACCTGATGACCCTTCAAATGGATTTTTTTCTGCTTGTCAAACTTCCCAGTAATGCCAACAAAACAAAACAAGCWAAGAAAAACTTACAGCTATCTCATGTTGAACTATCACGTTTCAGTAATATCATATGTTGCAACATAAACAAGTCTGCTCTAACATGGCTTTGAGTCCAGGTATTTGACAATGCAACAATGGAGAAAYATGAAAAACTAGAAGCTATAAATTTAAATATTGACTAATGGATAAAAAAGTACTTGCACAAAAAGAAATTAAACATGTTTATACCAGACCAACTGGCAGAACTACATGTATTGGCCAGCACTCCATTTCTTCTCAACATCGTCAAGTAACCTCAATGTATTAGCTACAAGAAAGTACATTCTTTGAAGAGATACGTGTAAAGTTTTTGGCAGTGCTCACTAATACCATTTATGAAGCAGCAAGAATAATTAACTATTTTTAAATCCAAGGCATTGGTATGCTAATTATCCATTCAACTTGAATCAAAGYGAACTGAAATCTAACTGAATAGGGGACCTTTTGTGAAATCGAGCCTTTTGTGGTAACATGAAAAACTGCAGTATTACAGCAAACTACATACAGTACATTCAGCCTCATTCAAAAAGGCCATACCTATAAATTTAAGAAATTACAGTAAGTGCAAAAACTGAAAGAATTGTCACAGTCCTTCAGTTATACTTTAGATATAAAAATTTAAAAGAGAAAATATAAYTGTCAGGCTCTTGTAATCTTACATAACCATTTTCTCATGCAGAGATGATGAATGAGCTGATTGAAACTCTGAAGTGTCAAAAGTCAGTGGCTGCATACCAAATGGAACATCTCTGCTTTGAGAAGAAACAGTGTTGAACTAGTCAGTTTTGGTGCAGAASCAACTTTGTCAAAACTATGTGCTTCATGTCTTTCAAACAATGCTAAAACGCTAAAAGAGCTTTGTGGCTTTAATAAACTACATTCTAGTGCGGAGTACACTTTGCAAGTTGAACTGGAATGTTCAATGTCGTTTGGTAACAAGTATGACAGGATTTTACGTTAACCAACTTGGCTGAGCTGCATACATGTTTAGACAACTCAGAGCCACCCAACTAATAAATTCCTTTTCTTCTCCTGCAGAATAGAAAAGGCCTAAAAGCTGCTAAAGACAGCAAGACAAAAACATGGTGTTCCACTTATCATACAAACAAAATTAAAGGTCGTGATTTAAATTGTAGGATAATGATTGGAACTAGAATGAGAGATGGTTTCCACTGCAGTAAAGCACGGCATTTATCACATTACGATGCGTTTGATGAAGCCCAGGAAAATGTTTCCTCGCTTTGWGGCATTGCATACAAAGAACTGTTGCTGTTACAGTGAATATGTGGTGACGTTTTAATCTGGGATCAAATTGAAAATCCTCTCCCATAAGAGTTCAGTCAAGGTCATTCTGCCGAATAAGCAGTCTGTCTATAGAATGACAAACTCAGACAAAGGTAGCAAAAAAAAAAAAAAAAAAAAAAAAAACAGCACCTGTGTGATGTTCTACTATTAACCAAACCCTCTGCCCAAACAAAACTTGGTATTTCCACAACTTATGAATCTTGAGGAAATACACATTTGCAACTTGTTTTAAAACATTCCTAAACAACCCTGTGGCCTTCTGTTCTAACCACCACACGTGGAACAATGATATGCCTGTGTGCTGGTGCTGTGTCCAAGCAAACAGCTGGTCTGTCTGAAGCCTACACACACACACACACACACACACACACACACGCACGCACAAACTGAGAGGTGAAAGGGGAAGATGGAGGGTGTGAGGGGCATAACCATGTGTCTTGAAATAGACTAGAATTGGCCCTTGCCTGGCCACCTGTCTAGCATATGAATGTTTCAAAGGAACTGAAGTCAAGGTATGCATAATGTAGAAGACAGGGACAATGATACGTCTTCAGAAATATTTGTGTAGTATGTTATCTTCCCAACAGAACTCACTTATAGTAATTATGTTGTAACGCATTGAAAGTAGGCTGAGTTGAATAAAAAAAAAAGTTACCGTACCATCTATAGGTGATGTTTTTAATCGATTGCAGAGTCCATGAGTATCCCCATAAGATTCTCCCACTTTGCTTAGCGCCTCAGCACCTCTCAGTTCCATTAGGGAACGCAGTTCTTTGAGTGTGCAGCCAAACTCTCCATCATGATTGGCCTCCATCATGGAGTTCTTCACCCCACTGTACGAGTTGTTTGCCATGGTCTTGTTGTAACCAAAGACTTTAGCAAAGCACTGCTGCTTTGACCCGACAGTGGGGTTACAAAAAGGAAAGGTGGCGTTAAAAAAAATTTAAATCCCCAAGAGTGCAGAAAAGTTGATGGTTCCCATAAACAGCTGACAGGTCCTTCAAAGGCAGCTGGGGTCACATGCCAGGTGGTAGGGTGGGGATATTACAAAAGCCATTTCTTTCCCTTGGAGAGCTGAGCCTAGTCATTCATGATGACTGAGGAGCACCACAGAGCCAGAGATCACCTTGCATGCAGATCTGAAAAAAGAAGAAAATATGGAATTAAAACAAACAAAAAAACAAACAAACAACAAACAAACAAGGAATGGTGACACATTAAGTTCAATGTACAACACAAGTTTGAGATAACGTGCACATTTGTAGTTAGCATTTCCTGAAGACACCTCAGACACTGCTTAAGTAGCCACTAGAACACTGGTTTACAAACATCCCAAAACTTCCCACAGGGATACTATTTTTCTGTCTTTTGGTTTTGAGTGGTTTCCATTTGGAGACAAAGTTTTAATGAGCTAGAACTACTCATCTTTTGTGGTCTTCTCTAATTTAGGAGTTGCATTACATTCAGCTTAGGATGGTTAATTACCATAGTTTTTTTTTTATTCATTGAACTTGATATTATTATTATTTTTTTAATATTTGTAAAAAATATATATATTTTTAGAAAATCTTTTTTCTTCTTTCACCTAYGCAATAGTTTGAAAAAGGGAAGGTGTCTTAAATGCAAACTGAAAACTGTAAAGCTCTTTGTCCTGATGCATCTCAGTAATCCAGGTAGAAAAAAAATCAAAAAGACAAAATAAATCCTCTGGATTGGATGAGTTCTTCTTTAGTTCACTAAAGAAGAACCCATCCAAAAGAAGAACCCATCCAGAGGACTTATTTTTTCTTTTTGATGTAAAGCTATTTATTACCTCAACAATTAAACATTGCAATTTTGTTTTATTAGGCTGTCACAAATGTTCTCTGAAAAGCCTCCAACTGATCTAAAATGTGTTAGCAGGAGGCCTCGTAAAAAATAGCACAAGATTGCATTTCTGTTTTGTTCCTCTTTTCTCGCTTCCTGTTTGGTAAAAAAAAAAAAGTATGATTTTTCTCCTATTAAAAGAAACGATGTGACAAAGCTCTGCTGTACCATAAGTACGTTTTTCTTTTAATTTATGGAGACACAATGTAAAAATGTTACACCTAAACTGCTGGCTTAATAGAGCAAATAGTTATTAAAGTGTACAAAGAAAAGGATGATTGGTCATAACTGTTCAGAAATCAGTGAGATTGCAACTGAAATTCAGCAATGAGTCACCAACTACTTTCCTACAGATGCACCCAGTGAGATTCAACTTTATGTTGCACCCTCTCCATCCATGGTAAAACATGATCATCCCGTGTGACAGATAAACCAACAGCTATTCCCACAGTAACAGGACCAAAAACAAAGTTGTGGAAACATTGAAGAAAGTGGATATGATAGCTCTGATGCGATGCATCGCATTCATTTTCACAGAAATCTCATGATTCTSTACTCAGCCTTTTAACTCCTTTTATATTCACTTGGTTCCCAAAATATATACTGCAGCGTGGAGCAAAATATTAAGCATCTTTCAGGTGATTTTAGATGCATCAACATTTGTTAATTGAATCACAGTCCTCTAAATAAATCAATTCAATTTGAGGAGCAAAAAAAATAAAAACTCCTGACCTAAACTTTGTCTATTATTAGGAGAGCAACTTTTCACAGTTTTATTGTGACATGATTGACTGGAACCGCAGGAAAATGTAAGACAACTCGAACATTCAAAGAGTAGGATCAAAACAAAGAGGAAGCAAGCTCGAATTATCTTATCATTTCAGTAAATTTTCCCACGAGACCGCAGCAGAAACAAGACATRAATTTATCAAAGCTATTACTCAAAAAAAAAAAAGAAAAGAAAAAGAAAAACTAAACCTGTTTTGACGAGTATACCATTTCGAGTGAATTTTAAATTTAAATTTYAAGCATTTTATTGTTCAAAAGGAAGGACTGTTTCTTTGCTCTTGTATTAAACATAGCTGCCATGAACTTTGTTTTACAAAATAACAAATGTCATTTATATATAACTCATAGGCAGACTTTAATTATTTTAACACAACAGTAAATGTTATGTTTAACCATTAAGCGTTTTGCTGTAATTTTGTTGATCTTGTCAGTTTGTGAAATGTTGGATATTCTTCCACTGAATTGTTGAAACTGCATTATTCKTTCATATAATTAGACACATCATACAAAATGTAATTTAAAAGATTTTAATAGCATTGCAAGGTGGGGCAATATATGCCAAATAYATTCAACTTAAACCTAATTACATTTAAGCAATAGATATTATTAGAGTTTTACCATGCAATAAATCAGACATCTGTGTTGTGGATATTACCCAAACAAAGTATTGATTTAATTGTAATTGCTATGCAAATGACAAGCACTCTCTACACATGAAATACAGCAAAGAGAAATAACTCCAGTAAGWAAAGGTGAAGCACAACTTCTGACAAGTTAATAAATGAGCTGACAATAAAACTACTAAAAGGACAGACAACTCATGCCATAACAAAATTACAAAAATATAAAAGATTAACATGGTGGAGGGGTTTGAGTACCCTCATGATTCTGAGGGCTATGTCATCTGGGGCATCAGCCCCTGGTAGGGTCTCCCAAAGCAAACTGGCCTCAGGGTAGGGGTCAGATAAAGAGGCATTCAAAAACTTGATGAACAAACTCTTGACTTGTGAGGAATCATGATAMCTCACCACGAATATAAAACCCAAGGCACCACACTGAAGCTAGGCCTGGGARGAGCTTACTGGTTAACGCCTGGTGGCAGAGCCTTGACTCCTGGGGCCAAGCATGGAAAAGTGACGAGGTTACCTCCACGTTGGCCCATCACTTGTGAGGAGGATCATTGAGGTTGACTATGGAGTGAGCTGTGGGGCAGATTAACACAACACAAAAGCTTTCTCACAAAACACGCAAGTACAGGGCGTGGACAGCTTCTGTCTGGTCAGTGTGACTTCAGAATGAACTGAGTCAATGAGGGGAGGTCGAAGCAAATCCACCCATGGTGCGCCTTTGTGCCACGAAGTGAGGTAGAATCAGAGGCAAAATAGCTGTTGTAAAAAGGCAAGCCAGTGCCACAGCTCAATACTGTGATAAAGTCATAACATATGGTCTTTGCGACYAGCCAGATGTGGGACTAAACAACAAACATATTGATCAATGGTCTGGACTGSTCTGTACGGCCATTTCATATAAATGTTTTAAGAAAAAAGCCCCAAAACAGAGGATGACAAAAAAAGCGGAGCTGTGTCTACACTTCAAATATTTTGTTTTAATCTAATGTAGGCTAAAACACAGAAAACAACCTGTTTTTATCCTGGCAACTTACTGTAACCTTAAAAGAAAATGTGTTAAGCATGAGTTGTTGCATGTGATGCATTGCCACTAAAACCAAATGTAATAGAGGCCTGGTACAAACTTTGTGAGGTCTTGACAAGCTTGTATCATTAAGACCTGTATTTGTAATAGTAAGCTGCACTGTTAACATTGTCTGCATTTGTACCAAAATGTTGCCATTAAAACATATTACTGAGTTTATTTCTTTTTTCCGCATAAAAAAGTAATAAAGGATTATTTACTTTGCCAGTTACTGTCTGACCAACAGGAGTTTTGATACTTTAAAAATAAAAATAAATGCCTATTGTGAAATTAAATATCGCCATCACCAATTCTGGTGATGCAAGGCGAAGCATTTGGATCAAACTTGCCTGACATTTTGGATATTATATTTATTATGAATAAGGTAAATTCGATTTTTTTGAGTTTACTATACAACCCCAGCAAGAAGTATGGAATCACCAGTCTTGGATGAGCACTCATTCAGACATTGCATTCTGTAAAACAAACTCAAATCAAAAACATGATACAATAATAAGGTCATTC